CGTTTTATCGTTGGATATAATTCCTACTCGCGACAACAGCACGCCAACTCGAATGACTGCCAAGATTCCTTTCTAAAGAAAACCGGATACATTATTTATTTCTTTCGATATTCTTCATTTTTTCTTTTTCTATTTTTTCTATTCTTTTTTTTTTCTAGTTCTATTTACTATTTTTTTTCCTGTTTTTTTTTTTTTTTTTTTTTTTTTTTTTTTTCTATTGGATGTTACTGCATGTATTTACGTAGTACGTGGTAGAATTTACGCATGCATGCGTGTACGTAATATCCAATAAAACACGGATAATGGAGAAATAAATAAAAATAAATATAATATATATTATCTCATATATAATGTCCTATTGAATTAACGATTTGGTAATGGAAATTTGTAAAATATTCGATAATCTATCGCGATTAATAATTAATTTGGAAAAATTAATGAACCCGTTGTTGTTAGACATTCCGATGATAATCTAATTTGTAAACGTATACGTTAGAGATAGTTGTTCGATAATGTTTAATTAAATTGACCGATTGTTAACTACAATTGTAATATTTTATAATCGATCGAAATGAATTATTAATTTGGAAAAATAAATCAACTTGGTTAATGATCGTCGTCGATGATAATCTAATTTATGTGTACATATCTGTTAAACGGTATTGAATAATGTTCGTAATCAATTAATGATTGACGATCACAATTGTAATATTCTTCGATGATCTGTGATACCATTTGATGATTAAATTGAACGAAAAAGGAAAATGAAATAAAATAAATTGAATTCTTTAAGTGAAGATCCAAAATATATCTTCTAAACAATGTTAAATAATATCATTTAATTTAACGATTGATTAATACAAATTGCAATTATATATTATTAATATTTAATGCTCGATCAGAATTAATTAATTAATTAAAGTATTGTTATAAAGTAACGAATAATTTCGTTTCCTCTTTTGGGAATATTTTTCTATCGTTTTAACGTTCTTCTATGAGAATCGAAAAACTATATTTCTTAGACGAACTAATATTCAGATTTAATTGAAGATATTAACGAGAAGATTAGAATTAAAATATGTTATAATTTGATCGTAATAAATGATTAAATTTGAAAAAAAAATATAGTGATCTTCATTTGAAGAGAATACAATATTGATTTATATTAATTCTAATACGATGTATATATACATATGTATATATTTCTATTTATTTGTATTCTTGTAAGAAGATTGAACTTGTAAACAACGTTGTATTATATAATATTTGATTCAGCTAAAAGAAAAAAAAAAGAAAAAGAAATAAGAAAATAAAAAATTCTATAACCTATCGTCATAAATGATCGAGTCTGAAAAAAAGAAAAAAGGAAGAAAAAAAAAAAAAGAGGAAGAAAAATCAAAACAAAAAAATAAGAAAAAAATAAGAACAATCTCACGAAAAAATAAGATTATTGTTAATGAAACAATCCATTGTCCATATCAAAACTATGAACGATCGTGAATTAAAATGTCGATTATGAACGTATTAATTTGTATTAAAATTCTTTAGATAGAAAAAATCGATGAATCGTTCAACGAATGGTTTATAAAAGAAAATCCAAATTCAAGATAATTATAAAATTTGAATATTTACGTGTTATTATGATCGTCACGTCAATTGACAAAGTAATGATCACATATGTATATCCTATAACGTAATATCCACGTACGATCGATACCAGTTTACGAATCTACTTTAACAGTTCGCGGTTTGTAGGAAAATTGATAATGAGCGTGCACCATTACCGGGCTTGCATCAATTATCGAAGCTTACTACTAAAGAGAGATAGAGAGAGAGAGAGAGAGAAAGAGAGAGGGAGAGAGAGAGAGAGAGAGTTACTACATTTAGTTCGGTGTTACGACGTTAAATCGACTTTGAAAATCGACTATGGGGAAAATTATCAGAGCTTAAAGCTAAACTTTTCACCATAACGAAAAACTAACACCACCACCGCCATCTTCCTCTTATCTATTTAGTTATCTCCTACCTTTACTTCTTCTTCATCGTTCCCTTTCATCTTCGTTGCTCCTTCGATCGTATTATAAGAGGAACCCTTAAAGCGATTATAAGGAAAGGTTGTTATTATGAGGCGAATAATATGGATGAACGAGAATGTGAATATAGTGGTCCTGATTCTCGTGAAATAATTAAAGAAAAAAAAAAAAAAAAAAAAAAAAAAAAAGAATAACGACTAAGCCGAAACCTTTTTCTTTTTTGGCTAAATCGAAATGAAATTATTCAAAGAATTACGATTCGTAGAAGGAGGGAAAAAAAAGAAAAGAAAGAAGAAAAATATCTATTCGTCTTTATGATATCATTTGGATGAAAAAATTTGGTAAATTTCGAGAAACTGGATAATCGATTAATCGAAATCGATAAACGATATTTTTCATTGGATTCATAAAGAAAGAAAAAGAGAGACAAGAAGATAGATATATAGAAATTATATCGAACGTAATTGTCGACGAAAGATTGTAATATCAAATCGATTTTCTCTCTCTCTCTCTCTCTCTTTTTTTTTCTTTTTTTTCCTTTTTTTTTTCTTTTTTTTTTACAGATATCGACTCGTATCAACTGATTGTGTGAGTTCATTAATAACGAATTCTACTGTTGACAAAATGAAAATTCGTATCGTTCGTATCGTATTTTGCGAAATAACACGATAAAACTATGAATACCTACATACATACATACATACATACATACATATATATGTACGTACGTGGATTGATTTGTACGATGTATGTACTCTTTACGTGGGCGTACATACCTGTATGTATGTGGGTAGTTGTGTGGGTGTATTTGAACATGTTCGTAATATCAAGAACTTCGTTTTTTATTCCGTTTATAGTATCTACAGATTACATTCAGTTTGAGAGGGACGTACTTTTCAGTACATTTCTCTTTTTACCACAGTATAACTATATGTACATATACAGGTATAGAGACATTTCTCTCTGCATTTGTGTATGTGTATATATGTGTGTGTATTTGTGTATTTGTGTATGTGTGTATGTATACGTACTTACATTATGTTACAAGAGTCTAAAAGTTTAGAAAGGAATCGCTCTCGAAACGAAACGTCGACGAAATTAAGACCACTCGGAGTGTTCGGGTTCGGAAAACTTTTTCCTTCCCTTAAAAAGCTCACTTTTCTTCCACATCTCTTTCTCTCTTTCTATCTCTCTCTCTCTCTCTCTCTCTCTCTCTCTCTCTCTCTCTCTCTCTCTCTCTCTCTCTCTCTATCTTTCTCTCTGTCGCTGTCGTTGTTGCTCTTTTTCTTTCTTTATTTCTCTCTTTCTTTCTTTCTTTCTTTCTTTCTTTCTTTCTTTCTTTCTTTTTTTCTTTCATTCGATATTTCTCTCACAACTCTTCGTTTTTCTTCTTCCTCGTACGTTCTAAATATCTACTCGTCACGGCCAAGAAATATATCTAATTATCTCAAGTATCTACACACACACACACGCACACACATATATATATATATATATATATTATTTATTTTTTTCTTTTTTCGAACGCGATCTACAATTTATTTACAATGGACTTTTAAACGTTACTTATGTTCTTCGCGTAAAACGATGAAATAATTTATGAACGAGACTTGTGTAAATTCTTTTTTCTTTTCTTTTTTTTTTTCTTTTTTTCTTTTTTTTTTTTCTTTCTTTCTTTCCATTCAAAGTTTCTTTGAATGGAGAAATAAAAATAGAGAAAAGAAAATGGAGAAAGATGAAAGCAATAATTATATCCTCCTTGTGGAGAAATATTTTTTGAAATAAGCACGAAATATTGATAGGACACGTTTATAACGTGATAAAAATGTTTATCCAAAAAAAAAAAAAAAAAAAAAAAGAAAAATAAAGAAAAAAAATGAAATAAGAAGAAAAAGAAAAAAGCTGTATCATCCCTTATGAATTAATTTTATCGAGAGAGAGAGATCAAAAATAACATTATAAATATAATTTAATACGACGAACGTGCGTCTTCTGTCAAACGAAAAACAAACGAGACGAAAGGCACAGAAATTTATAATGTCGAGTATCTCTCATCGTGAGTATTTTTTTTTATATTTTTTTTTTTTTATTTTTTTTTTTTCAAGGATGAAAAAAAAAACGAAAAGAGAGAGAAAAAAAGTAAAGACAAAAAAGGAAAAGAAGGGGAGAAAGGAAAGAAGGGTGAGAATTAAATCCCGATTTTTTTTCTTTTTTTTTTTTTTTTTCTTTTCTTTTTCTTTTTTTTTTCTCTTTTTTTTTTTCCCCACGCATAACAAAGTGAAAAATCACGTGACAATCGCGAAACCTCACAAGTTCGTTAGAAAGTTCGTCGAAAAGCACAGAGACGTTCGTTGAGTCGAAGAAAGAACTCAACTCTGACCGGAAGGGAAAAGTTCACGGACGATTTCTCTCGGAGAAATACTTTCGACTCTTCGAATCCTCCCCCGAAACAAATTTAACGAGCGTGCGAATGAGAAATTCGTGAAAACTTTTACGAAATCTGGTCTCTCTCTCTCTCTCTCTCTCTCTCTCTCTCTCTCTCTTTCTTTCTGTCTCCTCCAAAAGAATTTGGAAGTTTGAAGATAAGAAAATGAGAGGAAAAGTAGTGAAAGCACTTCATTGTCACTTGACTATATCATAGTGGTATGATAACATCAATATAGAATTGTTTCTTCGTCCTTATCGCGTAATATTATTTTCTTTAAAAAAGAAAATAATGTGCGATAGATCGAGAGAAAAAGAAAATGAATCGAAGAAGAAACGTGAGAAAGAGGAAAAAAAAACGAGTTGAAAAAAAAAAAACAAAACAAAACAAAACAAAAAAAAATAAAAGAAAATAACACGAAATAATCCGAGAACACTAACGATACGAAATATATATATATATATATATATATATATATATATATTTATATATATATATATATAATATATATAAATATATTATATATATTAGTAAAAATAATATATTTATAAATATATTATTATTTATATACTATATATTATATAAATATATTATATAATATAATATATTTATGAAGGAATTAAAACGAACGTGTAAGAAGATAAATTAGCGTCGAGATCAGATGAGTCTATCGTCGTGTTCAATCGTATCCGTATGCATCTTGGCACCATTTGTAAAGTTTCGTTGTTCCTCCTTGAGAATTCCCGAAGGACAGGAAGGTCTGTGTCTTCTTCTCGGTGGCGTAGGAATATCCTTAGATTTTTTTATCTCAAACGAATCCTCATTACTTTTACTTGGTATATTCGATGAATTAGATCTCTCGTTTATCGTACTATCGTACCTATTGACAATAGTTTCATTTTTTTCTGGCAAATCCTTTTCTTCCCAGGCACAAAATGACACCTTTCTTCGATTATTATTATTATTATTATTACTATTATTATTATTATTATTATTATTATTATTACTATTATTATTATTATTATTATTATTAGATGATATTTTCGGTTTTAATATATCATCCAATGAAACCGATAAACGTTCCTTAGAATTAATTTTCTCGATCTTGATCAATTTCGTTTCGTTCTCTTCGTTTTTAAATGACGACGATGTTCCATCGTCAGTATCATTATCTTCCTTATCCATATATATATTTTCGTTTTTAACATTCTCTTGATCATTTTGTTCTTTCTCCAACATGTCCGATAATGCAACTTCTAATTCGGTCAAACTCGGTGTCATCGAACTAAAGTTACTACCATCAGCGGCGGCGGCAGCAGCGGTGGCGGCTTCCTCCTTTAAAACCTCCTTTAATAATGTCAAATGTTCGTTTTCGGACATATTGTCAGATTTTCTTTTATTTTCTGGACTAGGCGGTGGAGTTTTCATCATTTTCAAATCTCCCTCGTCGTATTCGATTAATTTATCCTTATAATTTATCAACGTATCCTCCGATATCGTACCAATTATCTCACTTTTATCACTTCGACGTAATTCCTTCGTTTCGCAAGACATCTCATCTGGATCATTTGGTTCACTCTCGTTCGATAAACTCCTACCAAATATCATTATTCTCTTTGAATTAGAACAAAGATCTATATCTTCGGAATTTTTCATCTTTCTATTTGATCCTGAAACGTCCTCGATTGTATCTGTTAAATAGAAAAATAAGAAAACTTCCTAATGGTACAAACTAAAGTCACGTATCAATCTAATCCTTTTTCTATTATTCTACGAACGAAATTCAATTCTTAGAATAACATTCGTTTAATTCAATACACCCGAACGGGAAAATATTTTTATCGCAATTGACGATCTTATCTCTTGTTTATCTTTTTCTTTGTTGAGAACGGAGGGAGGGACGTTGAACGAAATGAACGATTTCATCGATAAAAAGAAAAAAGAAAAAACAAAAAAAAAAAAAAAAAAAAAGAAAGAAAGAAAAGATACCTGAATAAAAAAGATTGCTCTGATTCAAACAAAATGATGATTCTCTGCACATTGACGGTCGATCTGGTTTCGGTATTTCTTTCGATTCTTCTTGCGGGTATCTAAATATAAAATTGAAAGAAATCAAAATTTAAAAAAAAAAAAAAAAAGAAAAAAAAACCAAAAGAAATTATCATCACCAAAAATAAAATCTTATCTTATACGAACCTGTCCCGTTCTCGTAGTTTCTCATCAATTTTAGAATCCTCATGAACGAACTCTATTGGTTTCCCAAAGGACACTGGCTTTTCCAATTCGTTCGTATTTTTACGTGTCGGCTGAAAATCTACTACATCATGATCTGATATACCTGAACGCTGAACAATGAAATAAAGAAACCAAATTTTACGTTTGGGATATAAATTTGTAGATATTAAAAGTGACTTAATAAGTCAATTGTACGTATAATTATTTTTCAAAATAAAAATAATTTCAATTATAAGTATTCAATGATAATCAATGAAATTTGATAAGAACTGACAATTTGTTCCATCCTCTTTTCTATAATAATTATTTTCAAATTATAATTATCCTATAGTATGTAAAATTTGTCTGCATATACATATATATATACGTATCATTAAAAAAAAAAAAAAAAAAAAAAAAATTATTGGAATAATCTATTAGAATTGATAAATCCAAATGGATATTGATAGAATACGATGAAATGTCGTACTAAATTCAAATATCGATTTATTCTATTCCTCATAGTTATATAATACCTCAAGGGGTCTCTGCCTGTGGTTCAATTCGCAATTACCAATGTCACCAAGGTCCCAATCCTCCAATTTACTCGGATCGTACTTCAAGAATTCAGTCTTGGCATTGGCATCACTGCAAGGTAGCTTTCCATCTGGTATCTGATACTCTGATAGATTCTCAGTACTTCCATGATGTTGAATATAGTCCTCTAATCGGATACTCGTTTTCTATCGAATCAAAAGGATTCGTTTTTATAATTAACTCGTACATATATTTATCCATGATAAATATATATATATATATGATGCCCTT